CAAGTGACTTAGTACTTTCTGTGAATATATTGTATTTACATATCTTTGTTCACAATCTCCCTCCAATAAAAGGCAGCCCAGGTACTGTTTCAGTTTGTCTTTATTTCTCTAGCACTTAACACATTGTCTCAATGCTTGTTGAATTAATATGCCTTTTCAGACATATCTATGATCCCTAGTACTGAGATGTTATCTATTATTATATCTAATTCCCTCAGCTAATAAAGCTTGGAATTATAGTCATAAAAACTTCAGAATTGGAAGGGATCTCAGAGACAATTTGATTTAACCCCCACAACCCCAACTCAAAGCAGCTGCCATCAAAAACATCTTGGATTAAAGATAAACTTATGATCATTATTGTCAAACCACTTCTCCTATGTACCAGATGTTGGAAACATCTGCTGTCATACCATAAGCCCACACCTGTTCTAGCCAAGTTGACATTCCAGTACACTAAAACTTTCACATTTTTTTGACTACACAATTTATTAATTCAGTAATATCTGCGTGTTTCCATACTTATGAAATGTACACATCTTTGCATGCAAATTATCCCATGTAATAAAATATAAAAGATGCAAATATGTCATATTTACATTATCTAAGAAAAATGATAGTTCAAGTTTCTGGGCTTTTTTTTTTTTGCTTATTTAGCATTTTATTTTTCCCCAGTTACATGTAAAAACAATTTTTACCATTCATTTTTAAAACTTTGAGTTCCAAATTCTCTCCCTTCCTCCCTCCATATACCCCCTCATTGAAAAGACAAGCAATTTGATATAGATTATACATGTGTAGTCATGCAAAACTATCCATAATAGTCATGTGTGAAAGAAAACATAGATAAAAAAACTCAAAAAATGAAGAAAGTAAAAAAAATATGCTTTAATCTGTATTCAGATACCATCAGTTCTTTCTCTGGGGATACTGTTTCACATTTGTAAGCCTAGCTAAACCTAGTTTTCTGCTTTAAAAAAAATGCATATCATGTATATAGTTTCCTTGATTCTTCTTTGTTTTGTATCAAACTCCCTTGTACTCTTGTTCTCACTTTTCCCCCAAACTAAGTTCAAAGGAACCTAATCACTGGTTACAGATGAACAAGGGCCTCCACATTGTTGGGTCAAGGGAAGACTCTTGTAGGACAATAAATTAGTAAACAAATATTTATTAAGCATAACATATGCCATGGACTGTGCTAGGAAGTGCTTAATAAATAAGAAATAAAAACAAAACTAATCAGTTGTGAAGCTCAGAAAAGTTCAAGCGTGCAAAATCTATATAGCAAATCTGTGTAAATGTCAGCAAGGAATGATATGACTCATAGACTTATCATCAGATGTGAACCTATTGGCTATCAAAATGTTGACTGATTACTTCCTAGTGTTACTACTGATTAATAATATTAGTAACAAGTATCTGTAATAATAGCTCACATTTGTATGATTCTTTAAGGTTTGCAAAGGACTTATTAACATATAGTACTTCATTTGATCTTATAACAATCCTGTGAAGTAGGTGCTATTATCTCCATTTTATAAATGAGGAAACTGAGACTGAGATTAAATGACTTCTTGAGAGTCACACAGCTAGTAAGTATTAGAGGCAAGAGTTTGACCCCCATAGCCCTGTTTACAATGAGCCAGGCTTATTGGTTACAGATCACCCCTAGATATGTACCTCAAAATAGAGGAGGCCTTTTTAGGGGGGAGGGATGGTACTTCCAAGCATAGTAAGGAATAGTTAGCTTATGATTTCATTTCTCTTGTAAATCTGGTACTGATAAATCTCTTAGAATTGTGGGAGTTGGGAGAAACTTGATAAAAGCTCTTTTTCAAGGATTGTATTTAACATTGGGTCTCTATAATTTTATTAGAGATTATTTTGGGGGGATATTAATACCAGACCTTTTGGTGCCCTTATAGTGATCTTGAAGTAGAAATAAGGCTACTAGATTAGGTCACCAATGTCTTATCTTGGCCTTATTTCTTTCTCTTGTCTACCGCAGTTGGTCCTTCTTTCATTACTCTCCTTTTTGTTCTCTCTAGGGTAAACAGTAGCACTTGATGGATCTGCATCTTGGTAAGGGTTGCTGATTAAATGTAGTTGTAGTCATTAACTTCTTAATTATAAGTGCTCTTTAACAAGTATCACATTTTTCATTCATTGGGAATGACTTAATATTAAAGGAAAGTTTTCCTAACATGCCTTTAAGCTTCCTTCTATAATGTAACTATAATTCAGTCAAGTCACTTAATCTCTCTAAGCCTCAGTTACTTCTGTGAAATGGGATAATAATGCTTGTAATACCCACCTTAGAGGATTTTTATGAGTATCAAATAAGGAATATATTAAGTACTCTACTGATCTTAAAAGTTCTATTTAAATGTCAGCTATTATCATCAAAAAATTATTTCTCCTGTGAGCACTGTTCCAGACATTCCCATCAGTGAACAACAATTATTGAATGCCTGCTTCGTGAAGAACCTTGTGGGCAGGGAACGTCAAACATTCGTGGCACTTCCTAAGACTTATAGTGATAGGGTAGTACTGGGTATTCAAGAAAGACTTGTTTATTATTCCAAGTATAATCTAATTTCCTATCAACATCCCCCAGACTTCTGTCCAGAGAAACCAAATTTTTATGAACATTGGGACTTAATTGTTTCGAAGCTGAGTGAGTAAAAGAACATATATTTAGTGATCTTTAAATATAAAACTAAAATTAGAATTTGATCTCCTAATTTCTCTTCCTTTTTTTCCGCCAAAGGGTTGGGGTTTTTTTACTTTCATTCCGCCAAGTTGAGGAATAAAGGATACCTTTCTACTCCTTAAGGTAGCTCAAAACCCTTTTATATTTGGAGGAATCTATTCATGATGCTTCCAGAAGCAAGACATTAATTTCTTGCCTTCCTTCCAATTAAATGAGAGAAGAAAGGAGGCTGAAAAAGGTGACCAAAGGAGAGGCAGTTGGGAAAATTCCTTCAGAAGCAGGCTGCAAAAGGTGACCTCACGGAAAAGACTTACTGAGCTGATTATCCACAGCCAAACAGAAGAAAAACCAGAGAAGATGTTTTAAGACTAAGTAGCTAAACACAACTATCAGGAGGCTTCTGAGTCCAAGTCAAGATTCAGGATGAGTTACTTAGGTCAGCTTTCTAGTCAAATTCTTTTTTTTTTTTAATAAGATCAAGATTTGCTAGAGCTCAGAAACAGAATAGTGTAGCAGATAATATGCTAGACTAGGAATCGGGAAGACCTGAATTCAAATCCCTCTGCTGTGTTCATAGAGAAGCAAGGCACATAATCTCCCTAAGTTTTCTGTTCTAGGCTGGGTCTGACTCAAGCCATTCATTTCCTTGGTGTTTATATTTGATATTGGACACTTGCAGGTCATTCAACAGTTAACAAAAGATTTACTTAGTCATGGCAGGTGAAAATTAAATTCAGTTAAATAATGATAGGCTTTACTGTTAGCAAGCATGATGTGGAGGAAGGGTCAGGAAAAGAGAATAGAGTAGAGTAGTTCAGGCAGGTGTTGTTTGTCCTTCATTCTGGAAGAGGACTATGGCATCAGGAACGAAATGCCGTGACTTGGAAGTAAATTGGATTTAAGTCAGGGAGGGCTGTGCAAAGTCACCAACTTCACTTTCTCCTCCAGAGCCATCTGGGTTCAGTGGCGAGATAAATCAGGAGGACTGGAGGCTGCCCCCCAGTTCAGACAGGTAGGAGAATCAAGAAACTAATGTCACAGAAGCCTAGAGAGAAGAGAGTATCAGAGAGGAGCACGTAATCAACAGTGTCAGAGGCTATAGAGAGATCAAGAAAGATTAATAAGCTGCCACTTTGCTTAAAACTTTGCAGTACCTCTTTGTTGCCTTCCAAATAAAATTTCCCAACTCTGGCATTCAAGGTCTTCCACCATCTAGAATAATACAACCTTACCACTCTTTTACCACCTAGTGGTGATACAGCATTACCACCCTCTTCGAGTCCTGCTTTGCCCTACTTTTGTGTCTCTGTGCCCTACCTGTCCGAATGTCTGACCCTTCTCCACCCACATCCGTTCTCTCCCTGTGGGGAAGTCCTTCCTATCCTCTAAGGACAAACAAAAACCCTTTTCTGATTCCCCTCACACCTATAGCCACTATTGGGGGAGGTTTGAGTTAAGATGAACTTTTATTGAATTCTATCTGCTAGCATTTATTTTTTTTTAAGGCAGTTGGGGTTAAGTGACTTGCCCAGGGTCACACAGCTAGTAAGTGTCAAGTGTTGGGTCTGAGGCTGGATTTGAACTCAGGTCCTCCTGACTTCAGGGCTGGTGCTCTATCCACTGCGCCACCTAGCTGCCCCATCTGCTAGCATTTATTAAGCACCTGTTGTGTGCCAGGCATTGCCAAATTGTGGAGATACAAAGACAAAAGTAAGGAAATGTCTACCCTCAAGGAGTTTACAATCTACTAAGGGTATGATAATGATCTTATTCCCCAACTGTAACTGTCTTCATAAGTAAAGTAGGCTAGGAAAGAAAATGGAACAATCTCTATACTTGTCGCAGTGAATATTGTAAAATCCAGCATACAGTATTAACCAGCCAATAGTGCACAATGTTAACTTGTTAAAACCTAGTTAAAGAATGCAGTTTAGTATGAATGAGGTTTTTGACAGCACATTTTTAGTGTTGATCTATAGAAGTTCCTGCATGTAAGTACGTGAAAAATACAAGCCTACAAAATAAGTCAGTAATAGTACTAGTGATAGATGAGGGAAGGCTATTTACAAAGCTACATGTATTGGAGGCGATGATGAAAATATGCCTACATTTATACACTTTGGTGTACACTTAGGCCTCTTTGGTTCCTGGCAGTATGGGATTGCCCGACTATGCTTTTCTATTTTGTATGTGGACAAACGTCAGGGGGTTTTGTAGGAGGAAACTGTGGTTATTCTTCTTCCTGTTCGTTTACATGTTTTTGTCTGAGGGAAGGTTAAAATCTAGCCATATTTTTTTCAACGAGATCAGGCATGAGAATAGAGGAAAACACGTAACTGTTGGTAGAGTGTGAAGAACAGGAATTTTTCCAAAGAAGTTACTTTCTCTCTGATCAGACTTTTTGAGACCCAATGGGGAGTGAGGTAGGTGCAAACAAGGAACATTAAATGGCCTTTTGAAGTGTTTGGTTTTATGGGATTGCTTTTATATTCTCTAACCGAAAGCCAGCATTTAAATTGCAGTGATCTGGGTTGTCACAGCTTATGTTGGCAAAGTTGGGCTAATTTCAAAGTCTCCATTGCTTTGAAAAGATTTGATGAGAGTATTAAGTGAATCTGCTAAGTTCTCTGCACTAAACAGTTTAAGTAGAACCTCATCACTTCTCACTTGGCTGCTTACCTGGTCTTCATTGTTGCCTCCAAAAATTCATCTTCCTGCAAGATGAAATCAGTTTTGAAATTCATACTTCTCAGTACTTCTGCCCAGCAGGCCCCTCTCTCCTGCTTTTTGGAGAAAGGGTTCCAGAGCAGACACTTTATAATTTCCCACATGGTTGCTGGGCTTCGTAATGTCCCTGAGCCAGGTACCCTCCTTCCCTTCCTTTACCCCCGACCCTTTTCATCTCCTTTTTTGTGTTGTCTTCCTCCATTAGACTGTGGATTCCTTGAGGTTGAAGACAGTCTTGCCTTTCTTTGTATCCACAGTGCTTAACATGGCACAGAGTAGGTACTTAACGAATGTTTATTGACATTGACCTGCCACACAAGACTCTTGCAGTGACCAGTAGAGATAATATTTGCAAAGCTCTTTGTAAACTTTACTTAAAGCATAAGATGAATGGCTGCTGCTGTTGTTTTCTTTTTAGCAACCTAATTATTATTTCTGGAAATTTTAGCTAACTTCTTATTAATTTTTTATCCTGGAAAATCTAACAGATGTTTCTTCCTTTCTTGAGTTGTAGGCTCCCCCTATACCCTGCCCCCTTTTTATTCTGTTTCCTTGAACCCAGGCTATAAAGATTTGATTAAAATGGCGTTGTGTTAGAAGTGCATGCTTTTGCACCTTGATTCATTGGTTCTCTGAGATTGCTCAGGATTTCTCTTTCCCCAGGGCCTTTTGTAGTATAGTCCTAATTGGTGCTCCCTGCCTCTACAGTCTTTTCACTTTCCAATTCACCTTCCATTAAGTTGCCAAAATAAACTTTCTAAGGGACAGATTTCAACCAAGTCACTTTTCTGCTCAGAAACTCTCATTAGTTCCACAGATACAGACTCTTCAGCCTGGCATTGAGAGACCTTTATAATCTGTCACCCCATTTGAACTAACTGCATTAGGAATAGTTTTAAAAGAAAAAATAAGTGATCTCTGATGAAGTTTCTAGCCCAGAATCACAGATGGAGGAAATGCAAGTTTGACAGGCTCCTTTTTCTGTGTTGTGGATGTTTATGAATGGATCCTTGGACAGTTTTGTCACTGTACTGTAGTCCTCCCCCATTGGGAGCTGTCTCATACCAAGCACCACATCTAGGCCTGGATCTAGTCATGCTACATGGAATAGTATTGTGCTAAAAGAAACAGTGATTAGCAATTCAGACAAACATTAAAAAATTAAATGTACTCTTGTCATTGCTTCTTCTGGAAAGAGAGTGTCAGCCTCTTCCTATATGACCCCACTCCCCAATTTATAACTTTCCAAACCAAAATATTCCTCCGAGAACATCACTTCCCTGGATTTGTTGTCTCCCCCTATTAGACAGGCAGTCAGTTAAAAAGCATTTATTAAGCACTTTCTGTGTGTCAGGCATATGTGCTAAGTACTGGAGATAAAGGCAAAAGACAGACCCTGGCCTAGAGGAGCTCACAATCTAATGGGGAGAGACAACATGCAATCGTCGGTATAAATAAACTACATACAGGTTAAATAGTAAACAATCAACAGTGGTAAGGCACAAGAATTAAGAGGTATTGTAGAAGGTGAGATTTTAGCTGAAATTTGAAGAAATCCAGGGAAGCTAGAAGATGGAAATGAGGAAGAAAAGTATTCAAGGCATGGGGAAAACAGCCAGTGAAAAATTCCTGGAGCTGAGAGGAATTCTTGTTCAAGGAATAGCAGAAGTCAGCGTCACAGGTAGTTGGTTATATACTCTGAGCTTAGATTTACTATATACAAAAATCAGTGAGCCCTGAGCAGCAGTTTCAGCAATCTTATATAGGTTGTAGTTCATAAGTTGAACGAATCAAGGGAACTTGCAGAAAGGGAAGGCGATTATTTACACATCGAAGAACAAATGGCAGAAGGGGAAAGATCTTTATCAGGTAAAATAAGATATGAGCCTGTGTGAGCTGTAGCTTTATATCCCAAGCTACAATTTGCAAACTAATGAGTTAACACTAGGAGTAGAATTGGATGTCTCCACTGATTTTGCTGGCTATAGTTAGTAATGTGACCTGCTTATCCTAAGTAAATGGTGGTAAGAAAATTAAGCTAGATATTCTTTTATCACAGTACCTTATATTCTGTAGCTCTGTTTTTCAAGGACTTATGAATGTAAAAAGACCCTTGTGGTTCTTTTAAAGGAAGCTAGCTTGGTCTATCACTGTCAGTGGATTAATTGCATTGCTATTATTATCAACAAGAATTTTTTAAAATTTATTTTTCAAAGTTTTATTGGTAGTTTCTGTTTTCACAAGTCATTTCATCTTACTCTGCCCTCAATAGACTCTTCCTTATAGCAAAGAGTAACATATTAAGTGAAACCTACTGACAGCACATCTGTACATTCATATAATATATACTGCATTCCATATTCATAGCCTAGTCTCTTCACTGAGAGTATTTCTTTCTCATTTCTCCAGAGCTGAGAATATTCATTTCATCATAATTTGACTTGGAGACATGCTGGAGCTAGCTCGTACCAGCTTAGAATTACTGATTGTTAAATTTTCGTTAGAGCACTTACCACTGGGGAAGTTGACAAATGCTAAATAAATCAGGCTTGAATTATTGTTTTCTCAATTGTCTAGACCAGTGGTGTCAAACTCAAATAGAACCCAGATCCCTACAGGCCACATATTGACTTAGAAATTAATGCTGTCTCTGTAAAACCAACAACAATACATTTTTAATTTTTTTGTTAAACATTATCTAATTACATTCAAATAGTGGACAGAGTTTAACACCTCTGGTCTAGACTTAAGAAAGTGATAAAGAAAATGTTAATAATGTAGGTTAAACTTAAGTGTTATTTGGTTGTTCAACATTTACTAGTACATCCCTGGTTTGACTGGCAGCTTTTTAGTATTGTTGCCAGTCACTGTATTGTAGTCATTGTGTATGTTATTCTTTTAGTTAAGCTGTCTTCATTATAAGTCTTCTCATGTTTGTCTGAAATTGTAATCATTGTTTATTGTTAGCACAATATCATTCATATACCTCAATTAGTTCAGCCACTTTCCTATTGATAGGTACTCATTTGGCTTCCTGGTTTTTGCTACCACAAAGGGTGTTATTGTGAATATTTTGTTATGTATAGATCTTCTATGTCACTGACTTTCTTAAGGAATACATGCCCTACCTATTCCTTGGTTTCTGGAGGGATCTCACATTTAGAGTACTAATAAGCATGTACATAACCAGTACTATGACCCTGGACAAAGGGTTAACCTCTCAGTACTCTAAGTAACTCTCTTAAATCTTAAGTTGCCCAGGAAGTGCTGACCTGCATTGATAGAGGGAGTTTACCCATCTTTACTAATGAAATCACAGTTCTAGTTTGTCCTGCTTATATCGTTGTAGAAGTAGGAGAGCACCCACTGTATGGGACCGGGGGCCATTTGGTATTTTTCTTTTTTTTTACTGGTTGCCTTGGCCAAGTAATTCATCACCAAGTGGCCAGTCTGCTGTTGAAGATCCTCTCTGTGCTTTGCTAGGCTTATCCTCAGAAAGCAGGCACAGTTTATTGCTAGGACTGTACTTTCTAAGCCTTTCTAATATGGTGAAACCTGCCAGAACTTGTACTCTGGGGAAGGAAAAGGGAACAAGCATTTACTAAGCATGTATTATGTGCCAGGCACTGTGCTAACAACTTATCTCATTTAAACCTCATAGTAATCCTAGGAGATAGGTGCTATGATTGTCCTCGTTTTACAGTTAAGGGAACTGAGGCAGAATTAGGCAACTTGCTCAATCAAGGTCACACAGCTAGTGTGTGAGGCTAAATTTGAACTCAAGTCTTCTTAATTCCAGGCCCAATGCTCTTTCTACCGTACCACCTAGCTACCACTCTGTTTATTTAAAAACACAGGATTACCTCCATGCCAATATGAGGCATTAGAACATTCTGGAAGAGTTTTTTCTATTGTTCACCTTCCCACAGGACTTTGTATTCTCCAGTTGGACCTCCAGAGACCATGCTGTCTCGCCCTGGCCCATTGAGAGGGAAAGGGATAGATTGAAAAATATAAATAATATAAAAGAAAAGGACAAATATAAATAATATAAAAGAAAAGGACATCAATAAAAATAAGAATGTAAGCTCCTTGAGGACAGGTGCTGCCTCACTTTTGTATTTGTATCCCCAATACTTAGCATAATCCCAGGCACATATTAAGTGCTTAATTGGTGGTTTTTCATTTATTCATTTATCATATATCCAAGAACAAATTTCATGGAACATTTAATCATCTTACTATTCTATAGTAAGCATGTGCAAAAAGGCCACTATGAAAATAATTGCAGATAATGTACTCTCTGTTGTTTTTTTTTTTGGTTACATTTTAACTTTCAAATTGTCTCCTTCCCCACCCCTCACTGGAAAAGGCCACCATTTGACTCACATTTATAAATATATGCCAAACTATACTATGCATACTTCTGTTTGTCAATTCTTTCTCTGGAGGTAGATAGCATTTTCCTTTATAGGTCCTTTATAGTTGATCTGAGTATAGCACTCAGAATAACTTGGTTATTCACAATTATTCTTTGAACAATGTTGCTGCTACTGTATACAATGTTCTCTTGTTCTGTTCACTTGACTTTTCATTATTTCATATAAATCTTTCTATATTTTTCTAAAATCAACCATCTCATCATTTCTTATAGCACAGTAGTATTACATCACAGTGATATACCACAACTTGTTCA